TCAGTTTAGTATGCATTAAGTAAAGATTTCAACAGTTTGCACCCCCATAGAAACACAAAGTGAAATATATTATTTGAGTACTCGTTATAGCATTAAATCTCAATGCACAGCACATTAATGACAGAGATCCTACATGAGGAGTAAGTGCACAGTGACTCCTGTTGTTGACTTTACCAATTGACACTCCTGTCTATGGCATCAGTAATCTCCCTATGCTCCAGTCATGAGTTTCCAAGGCTATGGAAGCCCCTTGAGTTCTCCGACTCTTATCTTGTTTAGACAAGGTCATAGTCAAAGTGGAGGTTCTCTCCTCCCTTCATAGAAAGGTACCTCCTTCTTTGAAGACCTGTTCTTTTCACTGAGATCTCACTCACAGAGATCTTTTGCCAGAGTGTCTTGGCTTTCCATGCCTGAAATACTCTCATGGGCTTTTCAGCCAGATCTGAATGCCTTTAGGGCTGATTCTGAGGCCAGAGTGCTATTTAGGGCATCTGCCATTCTATGAGTCTGCTGAGTATCTCACTTCCCATGTTGGATCACTCTCCCCTTTATTTATTCTATCGGTTAGTGTTAGCAGGTACTAGACTTGCTTATGTGCTCCCTTTGACTCTTAGTCCTTTCATTATGATCAATTGCGAACTGAAATTGATCACTTGGACTAGTGAGATGGCATTGGTACATGCCACCTTGATGGGATTAAATTGGAGTCCCCTGGTATGTTTCTAACTCTACCATTTGGGGCAAGTCAGCTTGAGCATGTCCCAAATTATATATCTCTTCCCTCTCTTATTCCCACTCTTATGTTTAACAGGGATCACATTTCAGTTAAATTTCAACACTTAAGAATAACTGTGTATTAATTACAGAATTAAATCAGTCATATTAAGTAGAACAGACAAAAAAACTACTAAGAGGGATAATGTATTAAGTTGTTCATTAACAGTCAGGGCTATGCTGATTCCACGTGCAGAATCATGAAGCAAGACCCCTACCTTACACCTTACACAAAAATCCACTCAACATGGATTAAAGACCTAAATCTACGACCTGACACCATCAAGTTACTAGAGAACATTGGAGAAACCCTTCAAGATATTGGCACAGGCAAAGAGTTTCTGGAAAAGACCCGGGAGGCACAGGCAGTCAAAGCCAAAATTAACTATTGGGATTGCATCAAATTGAGAAGTTTCTGTACTGCAAAAGAAACAGTCAGGAGAGTGAAGAGACAACCGACAGAATGGGAAAAAATATTTGCAAACTATGCAACAGATAAAGGGTTAATAACCAGAATCTACAAAGAGATCAAGAAACTCCCCAAAAACAAAACCAACAACCCAATTAAGAGATGGGCCAAGGACCTCAATAGACATTTTTCAAAAGAGGAAATCCAAATGGCCAACAGGCACATGAAAAAATGTTCAAGGTCATTAGCAATCAGAGAAATGCAAATCAAAACCACAATGAGGTTCCACCTCACCCCGGTTAGAATGGCTCACATTCAGAAATCTACCAACAACAGATGCTGGCGAGGATGTGGGGAAAAAGGGACACTAACCCACTGTTGGTGGGAATGCAAACTGGTTAAGCCACTATGGAAATCAGTCTGGAGATTCCTCAGAAACCTGAAGATAACCCTACCGTTCGACCCAGCCATCCCACTCCTTGGAATTTACCCAAAGGAATTTAAATTGGCAAACAAAAAAGCGGTCTGCAGCCTAATGTTTATTGCAGCTCAATTCACAATAGCTAAGACCTGGAACCAACCTAAATGCCCATCAACGGTAGACTGGATAAAGAAATTATGGGATATGTACTCTTTAGAATACTATACTGCAGTAAGAAACAACGAAATCCAGTCATTTGCAACAAAATGGAGGAATCTGGAACACATCATGCTGAGTGAAATAAGCCAGTCCCAAAGGGACAAATACCATATGTTCTCCCTGATCGGTGACAACTGACTGAACACCAAAAAGGAAACTTGTTGAAGTGAAAGGGACACTATGGGAAACGGAGTTCTCAGTTTTTATGCACTATATGGCTACTTGTTTCTTACATGCCCTCATCCCTGTGACTGGCTTATAATGTTATAATTTAAAAGTTTTTATGGTGATAATGATGGACTGTATATTCTTTCCATATTTTAACATCTTAGAAGGAGGCAAAATTTCAACTCTGTAATTTATTCTGATACTTGATTAACTTTCAAATTTTGCATTGCTTTAAACAAAATGGTGTGAAATCCACTGATAGTCTTCATTGGACAACTTGCTAATTCTTTGGAAAGTTCTATTTTCAAAATTTTAGTATGAACGTGTAAGAATTTTTATGCAGAGTACACATTGTTTTAGCTATAAAAATCACTTATAAGCACAAATATTTATTTTCAAAACTGGTCTGTTTTACTGATTATTTAGAATATTTATTTCATTTTTAAGTCATATTAGAATACTATTGTACCGGTTAACAATCCAACATAAAACATATTTTTCTTCAAACTTTGATGAAAGGCCTGCTGAAAGGAGAGGACATGATGATCACTACCACAGAATGCTGAGACACTCAGAGACAGGCAAGCTGAAGGGAGAAGAGATGAAAGGATGTGCAGCATATTCTAGAGAGGTATGCTGTCTGGAGAAAGAATATCCTGCAAGCGGTGTAGCCACACAAGTACACTGACATGATCAGTGTACAGGATCCAGGCAGGGAGCACACAGGGAAACAAAACTCTTCCTCCACCTCTACTTTTGCTATCTTGTGTGCTACCTGATCTTCCCATTGCCTACATTCAATTGGAAGCTAGCCAACAAAGGTGCTCAGTGATGTATTCCTTAGAGAGAATCTCCCAGAGTCCAGAGCAGGACATAGAAGGGCTTCACATGTAGTAGCATAAGAAGGTGAATGCCCAAAAACAGTATAACCATCTGTCCTTCAAAGAGAAAGATTCAAATTCCTTATTTTACTATAAAATTTTTTGAGCTGTTTTAATAGCATCCACCTATCATCTAAATAAAAATGATCATATTCAGACTTTTGTTTTTGATATTTTAAGATCAAATTACATATGATTTTTTGGATTACACAAATATTTTTAGGTTGATTAATATAACATAATTAATATTTTAAAAGGTTCCACGATGAATTAAATGTTTTCTGTTAATAAAATTCCTCATATTAATGACGTTATAGAAACCTGTACTCATGTCTTCAATCTTTCTGCTTTAATTTCTTTGGTATAAATGATTCATTGAATGAATTTCCAGTGAGTTGATATTTCTACAATCTAATTTCCTTAAAATTGGTACAAATATTGAATTTCTGAAAATAAATTTTAAGTATAATAAATTTCAAATAAAATAAAAATTTAAAACCTACAGTTAAATTAATTTTGACAAATATATGAACCTCTATAACTTCACAATCAGGACCTATTTCTCTTGCATGAGATAATTCCCTTATGTCTTTTGCTGATCCCCAAGTACCTACTGATTCATAATTTCATAGAAATGTAATCACAGTTATGAACTTTTTTGTGATAGTTCTTTTGTTCAGCACACTGTGTTTAATGTTTGGACTTTAAATACATCTTATTGTGCATCTTATTGCACTTATCATTAGTTTATTATTTTTTTCTGCTTAGTAGTGTTCCATTAAATGAATACAAAACATTCATCTATCTATGCATACTTTTTTAAGATATTTGGATAGCGTGACCAATACTAATAGGAACAGTACTAATATAATTATCTAAATTCCCTTAAAAACAAAGGAGAATTTAACATTATTTATGAGGTTAAGAAAGGCAATAAAAGAGCAAGAGTCTAATCTGATTGTATGGAAAATCGACACATTCATACTGGACTTATTAAATTTTTTGCTTCTGTGTCCATTTAAATTTTTCTCTCTTAAATAGAGATTGAACATCTCGGTATTTGTTTACAAGCATAACATAAAAAGCTTCAGGGTATGTGGTGAGGTGAAAACTCCTGGGAATTCGTTGATTACATCAGCTCTCAGGACTTTATTTTTAATAACTTCCTCTTAGGAAAAACCACTGTTCAAGCCCTAGGAGAATTTAGGTTTGTATCTTTAAGACAAATAGTTTGCAAAGGGTTAGGATAGAGAATTGATCTGGGTATCTAAGAATAAAAATGCAGGGATGCCTAATGGGATTTGAGTTTTCAGCCTGCAGACCTGCCATCCTTCTCTCGGTCCTCAGTGCCCCTCATCAGTGCCCTGCTGTTCTGCATTCACCTCAGCTCAGTCCACCAGCGTGAGAGCAGGCATTGCCAGGGGGCCCACATATCTCCAAGAGTTTCTGCAGGTTTGTAAAGCACGAGCTTCTCTTCTTCAACACTGATTTCCTTTCTCCCTTTTGGATTGTTTTTAACTCTCTTTGCATAGAACTCGGTACTGAAATGCCACACGGGGGCAGGAGGCAGATACTCTAATGAGCATTCAGAAGATAGTTGTCATCACCAGGCTTGGCTGAGACCACATCACTGAAGGCTCTACTTAGCCATACGGCCTTTGTCTCTTAGTATCTCCCTGAAAGCAAAACCTAAGGGAAGAGGTTGGGCACTGGTAGCTTTTTTTTTTTTTTTCATAGAGGACTCAGGAAGCAGGCAAGAAAGCAGTAAGAGCGAAGGAATCAACTAAACAGCAGTAATGTCTACAGTATTCAACTTATTATCCCAGATCATGTATTCTCCATGAGGGCCATGCAGACCTAGGATTGCTGGAAGAAAAAGCTATAGTTCAATGATTTATTACCCTGTAAAGGGCCATATGCATAAAAATATGCATTACATGTGTGCTGTTGAAATTCATAAAGGATGGTTATTAGGAAGCAAGAAGTTTTGCTGGGGGCTGGCTTTGTGGTGCAGCAGGTTAAGCCACCACTTGCGACGCTGGCATCCCATGTGGGAGTGCTGTTTCTCATCCTGGCTGCTCAACCATTACCTAGTGGGAAGCGGATGGAAGCCAATAGTTCATCAAGGGGCACTTGCTGATACTCTACTTGTTTATGAAGTTTGTGAAACCAGAGACAGAATGTGTCTGTTCTCTTTCTGATGATAGGTAAACAAGAATAATCATCAATGGGAGAAGGAAACCGAACCTCTGTAGCTGAATTTATCTTGCTGGGGCTTTCACAAGATCCAAAGATCCAGATCGCATTGTTCTGTGTTTTCCTGATCATTTACCTTATTTCTGTATTTGGAAATCTGCTGATAATAATCCTTATCCAAATTGACTCTCGACTTCACACACCCATGTACTTTTTTCTTAAAAACTTGTCCTTTGCTGACCTCTGTTTCTCTACCAGCATTGTACCCCAGATGTTGATCCATTTCCTTGTGAAAAAGAAAAGCATTTCCTTTGTTGGGTGTTCAACACAGATAGTCGTCTTCCTCCTAGCAGGGTGTACAGAGTGTGTACTGCTGGCAGTGATGTCCTATGACCGGTACCTGGCTGTCTGCAAGCCCCTGCACTACTCCACTATCATGACCCAGAGAGTTTGTATCCAGTTGGCTGTAGTATCCTGGATCAGCGGGGCATCTGTGTGTGCAGTGGACAGTGCATTTACATTGTGTCTTCCCTACCAGGGACAGAATGTAATTAACCACTACTTCTGTGAACCACCTGCTCTCTTACAGCTGGCTTCTGCAGACACCTACAGTGCTGAGATGGCCCTGTTTTCTATGGGTGTGGTTATCCTCCTAGCTCCTGTCTCCCTCATCCTAGTCTCCTACTGGAATATCATCTCCACTGTGATCCAGATGCAATCTGAGGAGGGGAGGCTCAAGGTCTTCTCCACCTGTGGTTCCCACCTCACAGCCGTGGTTCTCTACTATGGCTCAGGAATATTTGCCTACATGAGACCTAATTCCAAGACGATGAGTCAAAAGGATAAGGTCATCTCTGTGTTCTATTCCGTTATGACTTCAATGTTGAACCCCATCATTTACAGCCTGAGGAACAAGGACGTGAAGGGGGCTCTGAGGAAGCTGGCTGGAAGATAGTCTGCCTTTGGAGCAATGATTACAGACAATTTGAAAAGTATTTGTAATATTGTGATTGATAATGTCTAATACTTTAATATTTTCTGTAATTTTCTCAACATACACTTTTATTGAGCCCGTTGCTTTAACATACTTGGGAGGTCTGTTATTTCTATTGTTAGTATTGTAAATACTGCTATTCGTACACCCTAATAATTTGTAACTCTCTGATCTGGAAAAGATTTAATTTGAGAGATCATATAGTAGGTGTCAGGTAAAGTAGTAAGTCCTAAAAAAATTGAAAGCACAATCAAGTGTGAATAGTGTTATCACAATTGTGTTAGGAACAGTGACTGGCAGAACTAAGAATTGACCAACCTTGCTTTAATAGTAACTGGGAAGTTAATTATGACATTGTAAAAGAATTTAATAGGGGCTGGCATTGTGGAGCACTGGGTTAAGCCACTACATGTGAGGTCAGTATATCATATGGGCACTGGTTCCAGTTCCAGCTGCTCCACTTAAAATTCAGCTCCCTGCTAGTGCACCTGGGAAAGCAGCCAAAAATACCCCAAGTCCTTGGGTCCCTGAACCCACGTTGGGGATCCAGATGAAGCTCCTGGCTCCTGGCTTCGGTCTGGCCCAGCCCTGGCTGCTCAGCCATTTGGGTAGTGTACCAGCAAATGGAAGATGTCTCTCTCTCTCTCTCTCTCTCTCTCTCTCTCTCTCTCTCTCTGTGTGTGTGTGTCTTTCCTTCTCTGTAACTCTTTCAAATAAAACAAATAAATATTAAAAAAGGAAAAACAATTGATTAAAAAACATAAATTAGATAGCATGGGAAGGGAAAGAGTTATCTCAGACAGAGACAGCGTGAAAGAACAAGTCCTTTAGCATAGTTGAAGAAAAATTTTCACTGGGCAGTGGCCATAAAAGGAAAATAGAGAGGCAGGGTGTAGATTTGACATAGCAGTTAAGACACTACTTGGAATGTCCACACCCCATATCACATATCACAATGCCTTTGTTTGAGTCCTGGCTTCTTGTTATTGCACAATCTAGGAGGGAGTGATCTAGCTCGAGTGATACCTGCTACCCACAGGGGAGGCTCAGACTGAGCTGTCAGCTCCCAGCCTTGCATGGCCCAGACTCAGCTGCTATGAGCATTTGATGAGTGAAACAGCACAGGGGAGATTTCTATCAGCTGGTCTCTCTGTCTCTTTAGTTTTCAAATAGATATAAGATAAAAAAACAAAAGTAGAGAGGGAGGCTGCCTCTAGGTCATGTGGTATGTAAATATTTTTGAGTTCATCATTTACATGTAATAACAGGATGTTAAAAGATAATAAACATATATTGGCAATATTGAGAATATGTTTTTAATTTATTTTACTTTTTAAAAAAAGATTTATTTATTTATTTATTTATTTGAGAGGTAGAGTTACAGACAGTGAGAGGAAAAGACAGAAAGATCTTCTATCCGTTGGTTCACTCCCCAAATGGCCGCGACAGCTGGAGCTGCACCGATTCGAAGCCAGGAACCAAGGGCTTCTTCTGGACTCCCATATGCGTGCAGGGGCCCAAGGACTTGGGCCATCTTATACTGCTTTCCCAGGCCATAGGAGAGAGCTGTTTTGGAAGAGGAGCAGCCGGGACTAGAACCGGCGCCCATATGGGATGCCGGCACCACACAGGCGGAAGATTAATCTACTGAGCTACAGCGCCAGCCCCTGGAATATGTTTTTAAAATCCATTTTGATGGCTACATGGAGAATGAAATTCTGCTAGGATAAACTAAATCACACTGCACACCAGATTGCCAAGATATTTCATTGCTTTACACAAAATTTAATTCTTGGATGGCTTTCCAAGTCAGCTGTTCTCCATATGTTGACTTAAAGGTCAAAATCTTCCATCTCATGATTTAGATTCTAAAATCTAATCAATAGTTTCCACAGTCACTATCAAAGGGGATATGAGAACTTGGAGAGCTTGAAGCTGCTCTTAATTACCCTGACTAGAAATGGTGTGCTCATTTTGCTGGCACCTTATTGGTCAGAAAAAATCCATCAGTCCCTGCAAAACTTCAAGATACCAGGAAATGAATGGACTCTCACTACATTTTTAGCAGCACACTCATTGTGACTGATTGATTGGGAAAACTAATTTTAATTTTCTTCCAATAGATCAGTTAAGAGGTGATATGCTTGAATTAAGCTGATGTAACAGGAAAGAATGGAAAGAGGTGGAAATAAGAATTAAAAACAAAATGTTCATTCAACTTAGTTTTGTTTTGTACAGATTAGAGAAAGAAAGGAGTCCAGCACATTTTAGATTAGTGCTATTCAATGTGTAGTGTGAAGTCTGATGTGCATATTAGAACAGTTTGCTACCCATCAGACAAGTACAGAAACTGAGTGAATATTATTGACATATGATCGAACAATCTCACTATCAGCTATATACCCAAAAGACATGAACGCATGGTTAAAAATATATTTATACAACCTTGCATATAGCAGAACTGTTCATATTAGCATTAATATCAAAACAACCAAAGTGAATGGATACAGAAAATGTGATATATATACATATTAATACATTAATATTTTTCAGCTATAAAAGGAAAAATATATCATTAGCTGCAAAATGATTGGAATTGGAAGATATCATGGGGAGTGAAATGAGCCAGACCGAGAAAGACAAATACTGCATATTCTCCTTTATATGTGGGAGCAAAAATTAAAAAAAAATCAAAGACAGAAAAGGAAGAAAGCCTGTGTATATCAGTTTTGAGGCATCTACAGTGTTTTGTCAAACTTCACTCTCCCAATGCCTACAATGGCCTAGGGGCATTTGGAGAAAGCCAGGACTGGGAACTTAATCCAGGTCTCCCACATGGGTATCAGGAACTACTTGAGCCATAACCTGTTGCCTCCCAGGGGATGCATTAGCAGGAAGCTGGAAAGCAGAGCAGAGCTGGCCCTGGAACCCAAGTACTCTGGTAGGGGATGCAAGTGTCTCAACCAATGGTTTAATTGCTCCGCCAAACATCTGCTCCCAAACTTTAAAATGTATCTTCATGGATATTTAGATGGAACTTGAGAGTTGCTATGGTAGACACTTTTAATTGATTCAGAAAACACTTCTGAAGTACCAACCATATACCAGTTCCCAAGCAAGAATTAGAGTCATTAATTCAGAACTAAACAGACCTAGTTCCTGCCCTCCTGGAGTTTATATGTTAATATAATATGAGACTAGATTAAGCAGAAGGTCAGAAGAAAATAAATGATCAGAAGAAAAAAAATTATATCAACCCAAGCCTTGATCTTTTTCATGCCTAAAGAAGGAGGAATAATGAGATACAGTGGGTTTAGGGGAGCAAAGGATCTGGCTTTTGGGTAAAAACCGTGGTTCCCTTTCCCCTTCTTCTGAACTCTCTCACTTTCCAAACTCTCTCCTTCTCTCTGTTCCATGCTGTCTTCTTTTTCCTTTCAAGAGAAAGGCTGTGTATGCATGGAAATGGCAATAACCTGGTGGATGAGTGAGAGCCCCAGACTCTCTGGTGAGGTTCGAACTTACCCAGGGGAAAACTGGACTCAAACAGCATGACAGAGTATCCTAGAGTACCTCCCTTTCTACTTAAATGTCTGGCCTGGCTTCTCTTTGATGGGGGAGGAGGGTGCAACTTCCAGGATTCCCTTGGCTGTCTTCCTTGGAGTGGCCTGGACAGGCCTGGGAGACACTCCTCCAAAAACTTCCATGCGAGTTGAAAACAGCCTTAGTCATTTTTCTCACTCCCATTTGAACTTTCTCGTTTTCTCACATATATAGCCAGAGTCCTTTGCCAGATCTTGTCACTGCATCCAACACTGGATCTGATTCTC